TTAGGGGAGCTGGCCCAGGAGGGCAGGACTCCGGGAGGCAGGGTAGAGGAGGTGTAAACAAGTGGGTCATTATAATACTGATTTATTCTTTCTACAAGAGCTTCTCAGCCTCAGCCCCGCCTGGCAATGAGTTCCACAGGTTAAAACATGGGCCATGTTAAAAAACAGAAGCATTTGTTTGTACCAATGCCCAGTTTGTTACCTTTCAATCCTTGTCAACGGCTGCTTGTTCTTGCGTGACGAGAAAGGTAGAGCAGGAACATGCGGTTTATCGTCTTTCATTCAGTCCTTATTTCATGCACTTGGGTCATCTCTTCTGCAAGCCAGCCAGGTCCCGTCTTCTCCATCTCGCTTCCTAAACAAGCCTCACTAAACTTCTGATCATTTCCCCTCCCTTCCCCGAACCTCTTCTAGCCCTGCTGCATCTCGTTTCATACGGCGTGACCAGGACTGAACACAACATTCCAGGTCAGGCCGGTTTAACTTCTTTGCAATGTCCTTATTTTCCTGACTTACCTCTTCTACTCTAGGGCAGTCGAGCAGATTTTTTATAGCGTCTCCCTTGCTGGCTTGTCAACAGGTAATATGTCCAAAGAGCCGGAAACTCAGAATCGGGGTCTTTCAAAATGACAGGGAAAGGGACAAACTTTCCAAAACTTTAGAGCTTTCATTTAGGCACATACACAACGACCGCGTCTTTTAGACCCCACCAGTACCCCCTTGGTGACCTTCACATGGCCAGATTGTCAGCACAACTCCACACCCGAAACAGGCTCTTCTTGAAAACATGGATGCTTAGTTGGATGATTAAATTAAGAGCTGAGCTTTGCTGAAACTCTGACTCCAGTTGGGCCCTTTTAAAAGTATCCTGGCCACCTATGACCTTGAGAATGTCATTTCTTTCCTCTACGCCTCAACTTCCTCCACTTGAAAAATGGGGATAAAGACACCATTTTGCCCAAGCCGAGTGCTTGGAGATCTCTGGGATGAAAGACATGGTAGGAAAGCAAGGGACTGTCGCCATCTCTGCCCTCCTCCCCACAGAAAAAAAAATACGATTCGCTGATAGGTTGTAAATAAATATATTTTAATAATTTTTTTTACCCATTCCAGTTCAATCTTTTATACAATTATTTATAAAACAGTAGTAAAATTTTTTAATCAAAACACAGTGCATTAAAAAAACAACAACAACAAAAACCTAAAAGATTTAAAAAAAAAACCATGACTATTTTACCTCACAGCATGGAAAACACCCTGCCACTCACGCAAGCGGAAGCAGGGGGTCCTGGCGCGGGATATCCCACGCCCGATAGCCATGAGCTGCGTGCAGCGTGGGCTGTATGGGGCAGGCACTGACTCCGCGTCGCATACAGCACGCACTGCAATGCACAGTCAATCAAGCACACTGCGCCACGGTATAGATTGCTGATTAGGGCACTTCAAGAAGTCTCTCTGGATAAGATGCTCCAAAGGGACGAGTCATTTTAGGTGCCCAACTGAAGGCACTTTAAAGAGGCCTGATTTTCAGAGGATGGTTGCCCAGCACTGTCTGAAAATCTAGTTCCTTTCAGGTGTCCCTCCTGGGACACCCAAAAATCACAACTTCACACGCTTTTTCTGAGACCGCTGGGCTCATGAGCCCAGAAATCCCAAGATGTCACACATTCTCATCCTGGCTTTGACACGACTGGAGACACCGCTGGGAAAAATCTTGCATGGGATCACATCGCTTCCTGTCCCAGCCAACGACAGGAAGGCTCCAGGTAAATGTAACGGTTTCAGATCTCAAGGGGGGGGGGGGGG